TGGCTGTGCTAAGAGGTAAATTAATTATGGTATTACTTGTATTGTGTAGCAAATTCACTTAATTATTCAATTAATCACAGGACATTTATGCTTAATTATTCTTGGAATACTTTGTTTGATAATTTTGTTTACTTTTCCACTTAAGAAACTTAATAAAATTTAAGATATATACATTGGATAACAAATGTATGTTTTATTTAATTATTACTCATGATCATCACCAGTTCAACACGAGGCTAATCCGGTCCTTATAAATCACAACGCAATGCAAAATAGTTAGGTTAGATTTTAGGTAAATTTAATTTGTGTGACTTCTTAAAAGGCACCTTAACACTTGAAAACACAAATATAATTATAATAGGAGTTGTTTTCTCCACTGAAGATTGAGATTAGAATCTTCCCAATCTGGAATGAATTAAGGCTTTTTTTGCAGACATTCTGCAGCTAAACGAAAGAAAGAAATCTATTTAATGATACTTTTTTTAACAAATTGAAGTATTTTATTTCGCAGCATACATAAAGAAAAAATACGTGCATTAAATTTCGTGATGGTATGTCATCATACTGCTAGAATTAATTTCAGGATTATGCAAGAGAAAATTTCCTGAAATTTTGAAATATTATTTACTAATAATAAATAAATTTAGAGAGAAGAAGCAACATTAAATTATACGAGTAACATAAAAATACTTAAAAATTAAATTAGAATAATCAACGATATTTTAGCGGATATGGTAGTTATATTACATAGTTAGCCTAAATGACTGTTACCATTTTTTTATTTTATTGCAAAATGACAAGGTATATATTAAAAAGAAAAAAAAAAAAAAAGGTTTAAATAGATTTTGCGGTAACATTCTAGTATACGGTAAGGCTTTGGCACGATTTTGAAAATTGTCGCCAAAACCAAAATGACTCGTTTACTGCTCATCATCACGTCGTCAAATCCCGTTGTACCATACATGGAGATTATTCTAACCAAACAGCGTCTATGTAAAGAAGAAAAGGTTCCATACATGTAAAATGCTATTACGCTGCTAGAATGCGGGGGGAAAATTTGCAAAGGAATTTGGCGACGGAACCTGGTGGCCAGAATTTCCCTCTTCGCAATGTGTACAGGAAATTGAGAAACACTTGTTAAGAAGAAACGTTCTTTAACAAAAAAGAAAACTACGAAAATCCTTTTTTAAATTATTGCGAAAAATGCAAGAAGAAACGTTTTATCAAAGAACGTTTCTTCTTGGATTTTTCGCAATAATTTTAAAAACGGATTTTCGTAGTTTTTTTTTTTTTTTTTTTCCTCAAACAACTAATCCATGAATTAATTTACTTGCACCAAAAAATATTTTCTTTTCCTTTAGAGTTTAACCACTTGCGCTATGACTAAACTTCATGGTTGCGGTGCTGTGTGCTACAATATAACAAGCGGTAAAGTGTCTCATTTACGCCACTCCGTGTTTGCGAGTGCAAGTGCAATCCAGAGCTGTAACTCAAGAAATAAACAATCTCGTTGTTAGGCGATGTGTGCACAACGTCATTTTAATTTTTGCGATAAATGCCTATCGACGTGGTGTTCACGTCGCTCGCGGTTTGAGACAAAAGCATCTCGACTTGCATGGCACGATATTAATTTTATGAACTCTTGATAATGTGACCTTCGAACTTCAACACTGGTTTCAAGCTTTGGCGACAGATATATCGTGCATGCACAGCTGTTTCCCTCTATGATGGAACGGAGCCACGTCTGTTGCAGAGAGGTTTTCCTTCTTTAGAATACATAGTCTTTGATTCTAACCTCCATGGTACCGTATACTAGGATTAAACCCATTTTGTTTTATACGAGAACAGGTACTTTCTTTAGTTCATGCACTGCACATGCGATTCTCGAGGTTACTGGAAACCAAAAGTTGCGGGAAACTTGCTTTGCCTTTCTAAAAGACAATCAAATTGGAGCTGCGAAAATTGGCTCTATGCCAGCTGCCCGAATGACACTCATGTGATACACATTTCGCCAAAAAAGTTATCTCTTCTGAAGTCGGCGCAAAACTCACTTTTTTTGGCGGGATCATTATATGAAATTACCTGACTTATCGTTATATGAAATACCTGACTTATTGTTATATGAAATTACCTGATTTTGACTAAAATTCCCTGACTTTTCCTGAATTTTTTGGTCAATTTTCGAATTCCCTGACTTTTTCTGGTTCTCCCGCAAGGCAACCCTTGTTTTATGCTTCTGGAAGTTACCAGAGATATATAGGTAATGACAGATATATAGGGCTGAGCCAGAAATATATCAGTTGGTGTATTTGAGAAGTTACATATGCTATTTGTTCTGGTAATTACAGTCAGTTGTTTTAAACAAAACAAAATCAAATTACGATTCAATCGATAGTGTCATCAGCACTGTAGATGGTACCCATGTATCTATAATTGTACCTAATGACACGGAAGAATGCCAATGAAAAATCCTTTCATTCGCTTAACGTGCAGTTCTTATGTCATTTGCCCTTCCATTTTATATAATATATATAGAGATAGATATAGATATGTGTGTGTGTGCATTTATATGCAAAGATGATATGTTTTGTGATTTAACCTTTAGTTACACAACTCAATTTTATTTTTCTTTCTGTATTTTTTGTTAAAAATTTATTATATTTTTACTCATTGGTATATCGTTTTTTAGCGCACCATTCCAAAGTTTTCTGCTTATTGATATCTACAATACATAGTCTATCTAGAGTTACGTGATAGGCATAAGTCATAAATAAATAAAATTATTGATATAATCACGATATGCTAAAAATTAAAAATTTTTTTAAACTCAAATTCAATAGGAATATTGAACATGTGTATGCGATGCTATATTTCAGTGATTTGTTTTTGACATTTAAACATCAACCTCATTGTCTTAAAGACAATGACTCTTTTTTATTTATTTTTTGTCTAAAAAAAATAAATCATAAAATTCCTGTTAACAAATAGTTTACAAACATGTAATCTTTTAGAAATCCTTTTTTATCTATTTGGCAAAAAAACCTCACATAAAATTCTGCTTACATTTCTTCAGATACCTGAAGTTTTGGAAAGGCAGTCTCTTTTTGTGTTTAAAAATATCCATTAACACTTCCCATTTCTTTTATCTATGCTGTTTACTAAATGCAGTATCCAGTTTACTGCTTAACAGCAGCAGAGTTTTTCGAAAAATTTCACCATCTACTCGAACTGGTTGGTAATTGCTTTTTTTTTTTCGCTACCACCGTCCTTAGTGATAAGCACGTGTGAAGCAGCACTTTTGACAACAAATTACCCCCTTACCCTGAGCCTCGAGCAATGTAGAGGGCAGAGTTTCTAGAGATACTAGAGATTATAAAAGCCTTAATAGAGGGGAGACAGACTGGTTAGTATGCAATAAATGTCACTTCCATGTGCATTTTCCACTTCAATTTCTGCAGACTAAATTTGAAGCGGTCAGACTCGCTCTCCTGCTTGTTGTCGAGTGAAGAGAGAATCCTAACTGGTTTTCCGACATCAATCTCGACCAGTGTCCAGACTAGACCCCCTAAATAATCCAATACAGTCACAGCACACCAGTAAATGAAGATGTGTAAAGTAAGCTTTCATCAATCATGTTCGGAATAAAAATAAAGTCTTTCATTAAACTAAGTTTAGCAAACAAATTTCTAAATCATTATTATTATTGAGAATTTAATCTTGGTTCATATCGAAACCATCCGAATATACTGCTGGAGACTCGCTTCAAACTCTTATCTAATCTAATCTGCTATATAAAAGAAGAATATATAGAGTTACATTAAAATACTTGACGAAAATAAATCGGCGCCACATCGCAATACAAGGAGGTTGCAACATGACCAGTATGCCTAATCACAAATATTTTAACATGCATAACTTTATATTTCCATCAAGTTCCAAACTTTTGACTTAAAATACATTTTAGGATGCATTCATTATCACCTTCAAACCTCCTAGTAAATATATTTTGGCAGAGCTCTCAATAACTCTTTTACTTAATTTAATAATTTTCTGATAATATAATAAATAATAACTATCCATTTCACATTTAAACATCAACCTCATTGTCATCAGATCACAATCCATCATATAATGAATGTTTCTTTTATGCGGAAGTATCCTGTTTTTCGATTTGTATAGAAATGTCATGTGTTGAAATACTATCAAAGCTGTCAAGGAAGCTTCTGGATGTAAACAAAAAAACACCCTATCTGGAGCAAAGCTGTATCAGCTTTGATTTGGAGACCACAGCCTGGGAGCAGTGCTTCACTCGTAGTGAACCCTCTTTTTGCTGATAATTATTTAATCTTTGATGATGTGGGGATAAAGGCATTAATTTTTTATCTAATCGCATTAGATTTTTGTCTTTGTTTTTTGGTCTGCTACCAAAGAAGATAGCCCACCACTGTGTTCTACTAATGCAAGATCCATTAATGAAGATTTTTTTACTTCAAAGACCATCCTTCAAATGACTTTTTTCGAATACATCTGACAAATTTCAGTAGCCCAATACAGCACGATGCCAACCTCATTCCTTTAATTTTTTCTGTCATCAGATTTTTCTTAAAGTTCTTGTACAAAAGCTTTACTAAGCTTCCTTACATAAAGTTAACAATGTCTATTTAATAACGAATCTCACGACGATGCATGTTAATAGATTTTTTAACCAAAAACCATTAGATGTATCTATAGATTGATATGAGTATTTCCCATAAAATGATGTGAAAGGAATAGTCAGTAACAGATCAAACCATGAAATTGTATTCGCTAACATGAGAAAATAGTTTAATAAAAATATTTCAAACAGAAATTTAATGAAACAATTAAATATTAAATTTTATTTCACAAATTTATTTGAAGAAAATGAAATACATATAAATTTTAATATGTGGAAATGGAAAAAAAAATAATATTAACATACTCACTCTTTTTTTTTTTTTTTTTTAATGACAAATGCATACATGAATTTCAGAAAAGAAAAAAAAAAAAAAAAAAAAAAAAAAAAAAAAAATCAAATCCTAAAATTAAATTTAAAAATGTATACATATATAACATATTTTACAGAATAATTTGTTATACATTTATCATAATTCATATGAAAGCAGGGATAAAGTTTCATGCTTTAAATAAGAAACATTTTGTGTAGATGATTCATTTAACCACTGAAAGTTAAGTATAACAGCTGGAACTAATTTCAGTTCTAATAAAGACTGTTCATCATCTGTTAATCTAAACCCACCAGGAAGTAAAAGGTTAAACTGCTTTTGAGGTTCAGCTAAATTTTCCATAATGAAATTCTTCACTGCTAATAATTTTTCATAAACATAGAATGTTCCCTAGAAATAAAAAAAGATAATCTTTCCACAAAATATTTTCTTCTCACTCTAAATGAATTGTAGATAACTTATAAGTACATAAAAACATAAAAAAACAGATATTTATGCATAAAACCATCAATATCACTGTGAAAAGAATAATTATTAATATAATATCACCAGACACCCACTTCAAAAAGTGACATTATGATATTGCACATGAAAATTAACACTTATGAATTAGAGAAACTAAAGATTGATATATCTACATAAAATATTACATAGACATGTTGGAAAGTGAATATTTAATTCCTCATCTTAATTATATGCATTCTTTCAGAATAAAATGTTTAAGAATATTAATATTCTTGATATAAATAATCCTTCATAAAAACCCACTTTATTTTTTATGTAGGTCATATGATCTGTCATAAATTATCTAAAAATGATGTTAGTAAAAATTAAGTTAGGCCAAATAGTTCCGTGAAGTAAAGGTATTTAGAACCAAAAAAAAACTCATTCTGAATTAAGAATTTTCGCTAATACAAATTTTGAGTGAAAAGCAATTTATGTAGTACTTAATTTGCCTTTTGTCATTACCATTATTACTTGAGTAAAAGACACAACACCTTCATATTTATTAATTATTATTCATTGAACGGGAGTTGGTTTGTTCCCCTTGAAAAGTCAACTAATTTCCGATCAATAGCAATAATTACTTGCTTTTAATTTAATTTCTTTTTCAAAGTTTGAAATTTTGTTATTCATGATTTAATTCAAGTCCCCGTAAAACATTTTTACAATTTACATTCAAGTTACTTTAAACAATTTTCGGAATTAAACTTCCTACCTCTGGGTTCACTCTTTTTAGATACTTCTACTAAAATTATTATTAGGAGATAATATAATCAATATTTCTTTTAACAGCAGATAATCCAGAATGTACAAACAATATTAGATAATTTCTTGAAAGTAAATTAATCTCATAAATAAATGTAGTGTTAGCTATTAATCAGGAGTCTGTTTCATACTGACTCCTAATAAAATAGTGATTAAATTTAATTACCATTATTTTAAAATTTTATCAGTTACTTCCAAGGCCCAACTAAGAATATAGGGATGTAGATATAATACATCTTTTACACCACCTTCTTAACTAGTTCTTTTATGGGGGAGGACCAAGTTAAGAATAATTATTGGAGCATCTAAAACTTGCAGCTCTAGACTAATACCTTGTAAATTAAAGCAGTGATCAAACTTTGGTTTTGCGTATTTCATTCATATTCCTTTAGTATGATTGTAATTTTTATGATTTTCTGTGATAATCATTACCTTATGAAAATATCTTGCAAAGGCTGATACAGCTCTGTAGAAATTTCTACAGAACCTCAAAGATAATCCCCCATAGAATTTTTTTTTTTTTTTATCAAATTCTCTAGAAATTTTATAAAGTTTTGATCGAACCAAATTTTATAGAAATGCTGCTGTAAAATCATGTAAAAATTTCATAAAGCCTTTCCACAAAATTTGCAAACTCTAATTAAAGCAAATTTTGAGTTTTGAATGTGCTATATGGGATACAGATGAGCAAAAATTAACTTTTCCTTAATAAGTGTTGAATAATTTTTAAATAAAAGTTTTGGGCCATTTTTTCTCTATATTAACATTTTTAGGTCTTAAATTTATATGAAATATTGTGAAATTTTTACAGAGTATTACTTTTTAAAATATAAAAATGAAACCTCGTAAAAGTGTAAAATCAATTTAAATCATAAAATTAATCAAAAGACGAAATTTATGCCTCTCATCCCTTCATTTCTATCACTTGGGTCGATAAAATGAGTACCAAGTTCGCTTGGGGACTAAACACTGCGACCAAGCTGACCACTTGTTCAGGGCATATGCTTACGCACCCCGGGGCACACGGTCAAGAAAGCAGATTTCGGGCACTGCAGGCCTTGGCTCATTAGGGCTGTTACGCCACTGAGTTTAGTTTAGTTCTAAATTTATGCTGTTAATTATAACATTTTAATCCCTGAAATTAATGCTCTTAATCATTGCATACATACCCTTGATAAGAGAAACGGTTTCTTCTCTTCCGAAAAGGTTTTAATCCCCTCCTTAATACGATAGCTTATTTCAAAATTTGGACAAAGTTTAAAATTTCTTATTAAAAATGAAAATTTAATTTGCTCTCTTTAATCTCCAAAGATTTTGTTGACTTTATAAATTTTTTAAGAAATCAAAAGATTCTATGTATCTTTTATAGAAAATTAAAGGAAAGAAACTTTTTTAGAATTCTTTAGGACTACAACCCATTTTCTATAAACTGGATCTGATAGATTTCAATAGAACTCTATTAATTCTTACAAAAGATTATCTATATGTGACCTGTAGAAACTGTGTGCAAATCTTCATAGAATCTCTACATATATCTGCAGAAACTAAAGTTTTATTGGATTTTTTAAAAGATCTCTGATCTAATTCAGAAGTCAAACAACAAAAATCAGCGTTAATTCACAAAATTTTCACAGGACTAGTTTCGATGGTTTTACCGAACCATCATCTTAGGCGGTTTTGCAGCTGAAGATGATGGTTCAATAAAACCATCGAAACTAGTCCTGTGAAAATTTTGTGAATTAACGCTGATTTTTGTTGTTTGACTTCTGAATCAGTATTTATTCGGCGTGTTATTGTGTCTTAATCTCTGATCTAGTTTATAGAAAACTGGTTCTCCCTTTTTCATATATTTGCAGCATTATTTTAGCAAAAAAATTAACAAAGAAACAAATAAGTAAAAAATGTACCATGTATATCACAAGAAACTTAAATTTATTAATTAAAAGTTATATTAAATTTTAAATAATAATCACACAAACCTGCAGAATTATTCCATCTGGAAATCTAATCCTAATAAGGGTAAATTTATAAACGTGAAGCTCTTTTATTTCATCTTTCTTCCGCATAGACTTAGTACGAAGTTGAGTCATAAGCTCAACAGCTTCTGCTCTGAAAAGTACAAACATATCTCTCATATTTTGAAAAACATTTAGCATGCATGCTCTGTATAATGTAAAATTTTTAAGAAAACACAGGAAAAAAAATTTAAGCAACATAAAAATAATACTGGGAGTATAAGTAAGTCTCTGTCATTTGACAAAAAGCGGTGCCACAAGCAAATTATATTTACAATTGTTTGATGTAAAGCAAGGTATTGTAAGGCTGGACATTCACTAACTAACAACGAAACCTTGAAATATTAGCAAAAGTGAGATTATGATATTGTACATGAGAATTAACACTTATAAATTAGAGAAACTAAAGATTAATATATCTACATAAAATATTACATAGACATGTTGGAAAGTGAATATTTAATTCCTCACCTTAATTATATGCATTCTTTCAGAATAAAATGTTTAAGAATATTAATATTCTTGATATAAATAATCCTTTGTAAAAACCCACTTTATTTTTTATGTAGGTCATATGATCTGTCATAAATGATCTAAAAATCATGGAGTAAAAATTAAGTTAGGCCAAATAGTTCTGTGAAGTGAAGGTATTTAGAACCAAAAAACTCATTCTGAATTAAGCATTTTCGCTAATACAAATTTTGAGTGAAAAGCAATTTATGTAGTACTTAATTTGCCATTTCGTATCAGCAGCATGCATTATTTTGGTGAAAATCGTCAAGCGTCATTTGAAGGAGCTTTTCATTTACTTCTTTAATTTGAAGAAATCTGCAGCTGAGGTGCTTTGATTGCTTGTAGAAGCATATGGTGAGGCTTCCTTAAGCAAGAGAAGTTGTCATGAAAGGTTTAAAAAATTTAAGAATGGTGAATTTGACGTAGAAGAAACACAGAACATAATGAAAGGAAGAAAGTGTACAAGGTGGAATAGGAAGCATTAATGGGATGAAGATTCGCGAAAAACGCAAGCAGAACTTGCACTTACATTAGGAGTGATTCAACAAGCAATTTCACATCATTTAAAATCATTGGAAATGATTCAAAAGCAAGGTAATTGGGTTCCGTGAGAACCGAGGCCGAGAAATGTTGAGCGCCAATTTTTTTACATGTAAAATGCTGCTTGCCAAGCATGAACGAAAAGTTTTTTTGCATCGTATAGTCACTGGTGATGAAAAATGGATTCACTATGATAACCCGAAGAAGATATCACGGGGCCACCTGGCAATGCTTCCACATCGACGGCCAGGCAGAATATACATAGGAAAAAAATCAGGTTGTGTATATATTGGGATAACTTCGGGGTCATGTACTATGAGTTGCTCAAACCAAATACAACTGATGAGAATGAGCTGAGCATTCGAAAAAAAAAAAAATTGCTTACTACTACTCCAGACATGACAAAATTATTCTCCTGCATGTTAACTCTGCACGAGTGAAAACCCACTCAGAAACGGTCAAATGAGAAATTTCCACCCGCCCGCTGTATTCATCTGACTTCGCTCCTTCCGACTGCTAATAGTTTAGATTGATGATGCATGGTCTGTGCGAGCAATGCTTCACATTATGTGAAGATATCAAAAACTGGATTGATCTGTGGTTAGCCTCAAAAGATTAAGCGTTCTTCTGATGCAGTATTTGTGTGCTGCCAGAAAGTTGGCCAGTATATTGATCTTGTCTTTAATGTGAATACTAAGCTAGCTCAATAGCAGCACGTGAAAAAAAATCTTAATGTACAATAAATAATTTCATTATTATGCTAAAAAACAAAAATGATTATTATTTCAAATCTATCCAGATTTTGACATTGGAAAAAGAAATTAAAAACATAAAAGAACTTACTTTGCTTCTTGTTCTCGCTTTAATTCTTCTGCTGATAGATTAAAAAAGTCATTAGGGAGTTGGACTTTCTCAGTAACTACCGAAGGCTTCAAAACTTTTAAATTTCGATCTAAAACAGGAACAATCGGCTCAGCGCTTAAAAGAGCTTCTTTCAACATTTGCAAATTTTCTAGATTTTCCTTTGGGAAAACAAAATATTCTTCTTCTTCTTCTCCAGACTTCACTGTTTCTTGGATAAAACCTGCAGACACCAAAAAATCAAATGCTCCCTCTAAAGGTAAAACTCGTTCCTGAAAGATTTTATTCTTGAAACGAATTCTACGATATTTTTCTTCTTCAGGATTATCTAAAATATTGGTAAGATACCTTGCAAGAGTTTCAATGCCAAGATGAACCTAAATTCAAGAGACTACAGAATTACAAAATATAAAAATGTAATTTTAAATAAGAATTTCCACTATTTGCATAGATTATTAATCACATAATTTATGAAAAAAATTGCATATCTTAATTTTAATAGAACATTCTGAGTCTAAGAGAATATTTAATTAAATGATAAATAAATAGAATTTAACAATGGAATCAAATTTAAATATCTCTAAATATGTTCTCTCATGGAAGAATGAAGAGAAGGAGAAGCCTTTCAGCTCCACTGCTTTCAAGCTGATAGTCTAAGGATATGTGGCACTTTTATTTACATCCAGCACACATTACTACAGCTTTTTTGGATGATATATGAATGTTAAAACTTTGTACCTATGTGTGAAATAGATTAACTTTAAACTTTTAACTGGAAAATGTAGAAAAATTAACAGGCTATTCAATATTACAAAAGGGGAAAAAAAGGGGGGAAGACGATTGCTTCAGAAATATAACAGGTAATCTACAATAGTCTATGGAGAGAACACCGTATTTGCTATTGTATTGAAAATTCTAAACATAGCTTTTGGTAAACTCAGAGGGCCTAGCAAAATAGTAAACATGGATGAAAGTCCTTTTTATGAAGTGTATCAAATATGTCTGTAGCAATGGCGATTTGATGAACTGTGCATTCAGAATGACGACATTTTACTGTAATAGTTGCAGATAGAACTGCAGCTCAGAATACTGCAAGTACGATTGGTCCAACTTTGGTGGGATAGCCATCAACATTCACAGTTAATGGGATAATATATAAATACCATTTATACTACCCAATGGAAATAAATAATTTTGTTTACAGCATATTGTGGATTTTGCAACAGAAGAAATAGCCCAGTTTTAAAAATTTTTCAGTAATATTTTTGGTTTATTCAGAGACACAGTGTCATATACTTTACTTGTATAATAAAACATTCTTCCATGGTTTGGTATTACAAACAAATGTTACTTATTTTACTGAAAAGAAGCCAATTTTTGCCCTTTATATCAGTATAAATAAATGCATAGTATGTGCAGTACACTCCTGATTAACTCAAGAGAGGGAGATAATACTGAGGATAAAGTCCATAATTAAGCAAAGTCACAATTAATCCAAAGAAATAACCAACATTATAATTAATAGGAAAAGACTATTAAGAATTTACCTGTATTTTAAAGCACTTTAATCTAGAATATAAACTCATTCAGTGACAAAGACACCAAGATAAAAATGATATTAAAAATATATTTACAATAGAACTTGAAGAAAGATTATAATTAAATTCAAACTAGAATTTACATCAGCACAAAAAAAAAAAAAAAAAAAAAAAAAAAAAAAAAAGATTTATATGTTCAAGATCAGGGACAGTTGTGGATAAAAACAACTCACAAATATCACATGATCATCCATTATATCCAAGATTTCTGTTTCCTTTTTTGTATCTTTTTTAACAAATTTGTTCTATGCTGATAGCATGTCAGGGTAATTTTTTCCATCATTCCTCAGTAAACAAACCCTTTTTTAAAGCAATTCTGGTTAATCAGGAGTCTACAGTATTAGATCATCAATAAATTAATTATTTGAAAAAATATTTAAATGTTTTGGTATTAAATTAATAGATATTTTTAAAGTAGAATTAAAAAATAAGTAAAAAAATTAACGATTTCTCAGAATAACTGTTTTTACATTATTAACCAACACAATATACATACCTTTTCTTTATTTTTGTTTAACGTGTGAATTATTAGACAAGATGTGAGGCCCCTTTCTTGCTCTAACTGTGCATATAAAAATTCCTTAATTTTATTTTCAATCTCTTTTTTTGGTAGTATTTCTGGTCCTATCATGGGACAAGTAAAATAAACACCAGATACAGTTAATGCTGGACAGGCATCTTGGATTACCTATAAATATGATTTCAATTTAAATCAAACAACATAATTGCAAAGAAAGAAAAAAAATCTGAAAGTTTTAAGATTTTATATTACATCCAAATAGGCATTTTTTTTTTTTTTTCATTTTTTGATTTTTTTAGACACTTGCACGTTTTGAGAGCATTTGGGCTAAAACTATTTATAAATAGCATATCTTTATAATTTTTGATAGGCAGCCTTGTGCCTTAAAGATAAAAATGTTTTATTCCCTACACTGTTGCCAATACTCGCTTTGAAATTGTTGAGTTTTTTTACCAAAAATTCATTAAAGTTTTACAAAATTGGAAGTAGACAATAAAACAAATTCTAGATTTGGGCTTCCAGGTACCCATGCTCGGGTGGAGGACTATGTTATTCAAAATTTGATGACTCTAGATACCATTGTTTTTTTCACAGTGCGAGCAATATACATATATGCATGCAGATTCTTCATTATTTAATTTCTTTAAATATAATACAGGGCAATAATATTTAACGGCAACAATGTGAAAAGTGATACAGCCATTTATAGTGATTTGAGACAAAACATCGCTTCAAGATTAATAGCCCTTCTAGGCTAAAAAACAGTCATATACATAAATAACGTAAATACCTTGTGGATCTTCGGAACAACTACAATAAATCATCTATAATGGTAATCTTTACGGCTTCGAACGACAGTAAACTTCACTTTTCCATTTTTTTTTCTGTTTGTTTTTGGTCTTTCTTGCACTAGTTTCTAATGTTTGCCTCTTCGTTATAACATTTTATCTGATCTTGAAGTTAACCATGAACTCACACTAAGAGTCATAAACGTGTTAACTATTTTCAGTTTGCAATCAACTTCCTTTTCTTGGTAGGATATTGTTCTGCTTTTCCAAGAAAAGTGAATACTACAAAATATCTGGCTTTGTAAGAACAGTCATGAAAGAAAATTTTACAATAAACTTATATGGTACTGAGCATATAGAAAATGCCTCCTTTGTCCCCCTGAAAAGAACACCCATGATGAAAACTGGTTTCATAGAATACAAATTCTTTCTTTGATAAAATTACATTTTATGTACTATTAGATCAAAAGAAATGACATCAAATAAATTGTGAGAAACAAATATTTGCATTAATATAACCCCCAATTAGAATAACTTTAAAAGGAAACTTTGCTTAGATATCCTAGGAGACCAAATGGAAAATTTATCAAAAATAAAGTGCGTATTTATATGCATCAGAAATTAATTCCCAAAGAACTTTAATGTGGATAAAATGTTAACCTAAAAGTGGATTCTAAAGGTATGTGTTGTGAAAAAGGAAACTACTTCATGGTTGAAATTTATAATACAGATGACAAAATACTTTTGCAAAGTATGCCATTAGAAGCAACAGCTTGCTGAAATATGGCAGAAGTGTAAGGCCAAAAATCATTGTTTTGAAGCTATTCCCGCATTTTCAGAATAAAAGCCATCGTTTTTTGGGGAGAGGGGGTTCAGAATTGGCTCCTTTAGCAAACTGGTAACTTCAGAGATTCGCAGTACCAAAATATTTAACTTAAAAAAAAGCTACTTTTTCACAATTTATATTATTAATATTAATTATACCAAAGTGTCACATTAACTCTTTTAAATCCAGACCCTTTGCTAACCTGTATCCTTAAAATACCGAACTGCTCGAAACACTATTCCAGTTTCACAGCAATTTCCTCGCCTTCATGTCCATTAGCGCAGAAAACAGGTGTGAAGATTTCGAATGACATCTTTTGTACTTTCTAACAAGTATTCCATTAGCCTTTGACGCCGTTCTTTAGAAACCTATTCTTGAAGGTCAGACCAACAAAGCCTCTCTAGCTTTGTTATGATCCTGACTGAGATTTTGTTTACTTCAGTTATTTTTATATGAAGGAATAAACTGATTAAAAATAAATATAATCCTTAAATTTTTAAACAGCAATTTTATTGCTGTTTAATTTTATTGCTACACATGTATTGTTTAGTAATAAAATAACTCTGTGGTTTTAAAACTCCTTATCTATATCCGGGTAAAAATAAACATTCTTATTTGAGAAGCAAGCAAATGCCATTGTGAAAAGCAGTGGTTTCAAAGCGCGAACACCGAGCCTCTAGAACATTGTGATACAATGCTCTAGTGAGGCTGTGATTGTGCCCTGAAATCACAAAGCAAATGCCATACATATAAAGTTTTTTTTTTATATAAGCAGTATAATTATTGCTATTTTTTATTGTTTATGATAGCAATCATGATGTGTGATGAATAACTTTTGAAATTTAAAGTTGTTTATATTAATAAAAGGAAGTTTTGTCTCATTGAAAACGAATTTTAGAAGGCATCCGATTTGAAGTACTAAGATCTAAAACATGTATGATTCTGCAGTCATTATGTGTTAGTTAGAAGTAAAAGATCAGTAATAAATCGATTTTCACTCAAAAATTTCGGAAAGAAGAGGAGAAAAACATTCGAAAATTGGTGGTTTCAAGGTGTGACCACCGCATGTCAGAGTTAAAAAGTAGATATTTTATCATAATTCTGTTAAGTGCCGAAATATTTCTGGGCTTATATAAAAATGGACCTCGCTAGGATAAATATGTATATTATTATTATCACGTGTAATGTAAATATGAACCAAGTTCCATTGGGAAAATCCCGCCTATGCCTTCGCCAGTCCTCAAGCAGATACCTCTTGTACTTTGCCATATACAATACCCAGTGATGAATATAATAGAAATAAATAATTTTCCTCTTTTAAATTTCTTTTTTAAAGGAATTTCTTGTTTTTTCTTTTATTGAATGGATGATTAAGATTTCACTTCATGTATTTTCTTTGCATGTTAAGTTGCTATTTTTTAGTTTATTAGATGCATTATTTTTTCATTTTATTTTATTAGATTTTGTTTTTCCTTTTCCAAAAATAATGAGAGTCTTTGCATTTGTTGATCAGTTGCTTAATCCCATCTCTGTGAGGAATAAACCTTAGTTTATAGACTTTTTTTATGATTTGATTTATTATACGAGTTTCAAAGCACATTTATAAATGTCATTGTTTTCCATGTTTCCATTTATTTAGTTATATAAGTATATTATTATTTCTGAATATGTTATATGCATGTGCATATTATCACTCATATAAATTTGTAAGTAGATATATGCATATATAAATGTGTCTATGTTTATATACATATTGCTGTTCATTGCACATTTATACATGTTTTCGTCATGATGCAATAAGGTTTTCACCTTTTTGTAATTGGATACTGTTCTGTAATTTTAACCGAATCATGTATGACCATTAATTTTTCGATGTTTGTGATAATGATATGCACTAGGCAAAAATATACCATGCCCGAGGTTCATTTTCAAAACAAATTTTGCGATGCTGATTCTTCAGTCAATTCTAATTAAGTTGTATAGCTGCTTTGGTCACTTTAGGATTAGATAATAAATGACTCTATGAACAATAGAGGCATTATTCACTGCTGTGTCTAAAAGGAACCAAAATATGTACATCCATTATTTCCAGAATTTTCTAGAAGCTGAGTAATATTTTTGACACTGATCTGCTAGATCTAAACCACCCATATTCTTATTGTACTTGGAAAATGTGGGTGGGCCTGGTACTACATGTTTTTCGGAGCCTTTTCTTCTTGTAGTAAACATTGTTCATTTTTACAGTTTGTGGAAATGATATATATCAATTTTTTTATCAAGCCAAGATAAATAAAGTAAGTTCGGCTTTTGCATTGCATAACTACACTATCGTATTGATTTCTGAGCTTCATTTGATTGATGTTCTCAGGCATGTTTTTCCGATTTGTCAACACAGTTTCACATGGTAACTGTCCAGATTTGTATAACTTCAACATCAAATCTATGCTGGTGAAAATTCTGTTAAAATAGATCTCATAGCCTTTGTTTTTAAGTGTTTTTATTAAGAGCATATAATTACCTCATATCCTAAACCCTTTCCTGACCTTGGTATCTGATCTTTTTTACCACAACAGAGTTCAAAGTTTTAATTACAGTCAAATACCGAAAATCCGCCGACCTGAAATCCGCGTTGCCTTTCAAAATATAAACATTCAGTTTATATGTTCTGAAAACTGCAACATTGATTACGAAATATCGTAGAAAAAATACTTACCGAATAATAATGAGTCATAACGGAAATACCAAATTATTGACATCATGATAAAAGTTTTTTCTCCTCTAATCTGCATCGAGGTAAAAAAGCAGACAATTCACTGAACTCTTCTTTCAATTTCACGATTCACGTTGTTGTATTTTCTGAGTTTGTTATTTCACGAGATTTAGTGCTGCCCCATTTTTTTTATTAATCCGTATATTTTGTGGATAAATTAAGAATATTTTAATGCGAAGAATGGAGGTAAATGCTACTCCTTGGTTTATAGCAGAATCCTATGGAATTGTGACACGACTGTGTATGATATACAGAAAAATAAAGAAAGCTGTTGAAATTTTACAGCAACAGTGATTCTAACACCGTAAATCTTTGCATTAGGCGAAATCGGCAAACCTTGATGCTGTGTTCATATAATACAATGAATAATATAATCAATTTATATATGTAATATTAATTTAATGCATATAATAAGTTATTGCAATAATGTATATAATAATTTAATTGAATGTATCTAATACGCTTTATTTATTTTGCACTTTTAGTCTGAATATTATGATTTATCTTTTCTGTTCTGAAATCTGCACAACCTCTAGTCCCAAGCTTTGCGGATTTCTGGACTTCTACTGTATATCTGAAGTGAGATGTGCAGAGCATACATATCTTTACTCCATGCTTAGCTGATTTCATATGCATATATTGCATGGTCCCTAATCTACCTTTAAATTTAATTAGCGCTTCGTCAATTGACACTTCAGCATAAGGTGCAAAATGTTGCTGAAATTTGTTTCTGAAATATGAAATGGAAGGGTCTAATTTTTGTGCATATGCAAAGTTCTCTTCA